AGCCACTGCCCGGCCCCGGCGGCCGCAGCGTCACCGGCTGCCCGCGGAGTACTTGGCCTTGGTGATCAGGTAGAGCACGATGTCCTGGTGGCCCCCGAAGGCGGCGATGTGCAGCGCGCTCCAGCCGTCGCGGTTGGCCAGGCGGATGTCCGCGCCGAACTTGACGAGCAGCTTGACGAGCTCCAGGTTGCCGTCGATGACGGACTGGTGCAGGGCCGTCTGCCCCTCGGGCCCGAACGAGTTCACGTTGAACTCGCAGTTCGTCATGTTCTGCAGCAGCGACTGCAGCTCCTTGGTGTTGCCCTTGCGCACCGCCTCCTGGAAGATGCGCTGGCTCTGCGGGGCCGAGCAGGTGGACAGCTCCGTCTGGCTCATGGCCGCGGCCGGGCAGCTGGATCCGGGCGCAGCGGTGCCGGGTGGGCGCAGGTCTCCGTGCCCCGCTCCGCCTCACCCAGCTCGGCACGGGCGCTCCGCGAGCCCGAAGCTAGGCGCGGGGGCTCGGCGCGCAAGCGGTGCACCCTGCGGCTGAGAGCGCGGCCTCCGGACAAGTCCCTGGGCGCGGATGCTCATGGAAGCCAGCAAAGATCCGAGCGTGGCGCTGGCGGGGGGCCGGGGCGCGGGGCAGCTCGGGGGCTGGCGGATCGGATCAGGCCCGGCTAAGAGACTCCCCGGGCACCGAGCTCCCCCGCGGTACGGCTGCGCGCCCCCCCGCGCCCCGTGCCGAGCGCGGCCCAGCAGCTTCCGTGCGGCTCCCAGGGTGCGTGAGGCTGGCGGCCGGCAAGCGCCCTGCTGCTGCCGCCGCTGCTGCTATCTGCCCCGGCTGCGCATCCAGCTGGAGCCCGGCTGCCTCGCTTGGTTCCTGGCCGGGAGAGGTGGTGCTGGGAGTCTCTGCGGCTGTGCCCGGAGCCAGGGGGAGATGGGGGGAAGCTGCTGTGCTTATCCCAGAGAGGGGCTCTTGTCTTGGAGCAGATCCCCCCCTTTTCCTTAGTGCTCCCTCAGGGCGAATCCCCCCTCAGCCACTTCCCTGGGCGTCTTTAGAGGGCAGGATACCCTGGGCAGCTCCTTTTAGGCAGCCTTTTATTTGCATAACAATAGCACGTCTGTGACGCTTCCTCGTATCCACAGGGGCGGGGAGGAAAGACGGTGATTGGATTTCACCCAACGGGGAAGGGGGGGATAGGGGATGGGACTTTGATACATTGCAGAGGGCGGAGCTACCCCTCTTCCCCCAGGACCACGCTGGGGGGAGGGGCGGTGATCGATGGAATGTTGAGACAATTTAAAAAAAAAAAAAAACCCACCGTCCCCCGTAACTAGCCCCTGTGGGGAGCTGAGCCGGGGGAGCGCAGGCGTTGGGGTGTACGCATTGCGCAGCGCTCTTGTCCACACGTTGCCATGACCAGTTCGGAACAGCCAGAGATGCTGTTTGGGACAGAAATACAGCGCTTGAAATTCCTGGTTTCTGTAGATTTGATTCTGGTGACAGGGGAATGTAAAGCCTGTTAAGCTCCAAAGACCATCACGTGCAGAGTGCAATACTATTTTGCCTTCTGATCTACATACACGTCGTGCTTTCCTTTTGGTGCCCCCGAATGCAAAGGATCCGTGGCCTATGTACTTGGAAATACCCAATACAGCTCGCTTGATCTGAAATCAACGTGGAAAGAATTCAAACCATGTCGGATTATTGCGCTCTCTAAAGGTAGGGGTCGCTAGTGCACAGAAATGGAAACCAGAAGGCTCTGCATTTCTGTGCTTCTCAAGGAAACAGCCTACAAAGGGTGAAGTGGATAAGCAATGTGACCCGGGGTCAGTTATTTACAGTGTGAAGAGGCAAAAACTCGGACTAGGATCCTGAACTGCTTTTCTTCCTTTGTAAAACATCAAGGGGATTTGTAATAATTCTCCCCACAAACCCAGCACAGCCTTTGCTAAACAAATAGAGAGCAGATTTGTAAGTGACACACAACATCAATTATAAACAGGTCTACAGTTTTTAACATACAAACATGGGGGGAGGGGCATTTATTTAGAAAAATAAGACAATCTCTTCGTTTCACTCCTCTGTTGATCACTGCAGGAAATGGGTTCCTTTTAACCACAGACTTGTACAGTATTTTAGCTGGGGGGGTGGCGGGGGTTGCCTTTGTTGCTGTTGCCTGTCATAATCTCCCGATCAGCTCCTTATAATTAATCAAACCCTAGTCTTTTCTGAAAGGGGAGGCTGCCTTGACTACCAGTCAGATTCAGATGGTGGACTTTAATACAACTAAGGAATTTCTGCCAATTTATTACTAATATATTATTTCCCAATCCTCTAAAACCAACCATCTGGGGAAGGCTGAAGATTGGTCATTAAGGAGACTACAAGTAAGGAAACTCTTAGCCCCGGAAAAGCCAGGATAGGCTGTTGCACAAGATCCAGTCGAATCCTGTGATTACTCTGGTTTCTTTGGAGCACTCCCAAGTCAGGGTGAGATCTCTGAGCATATTAATAAAAGCAAAAATGCCTTAAGAATATGGATACTGAACAGATGCTGGGGGTGGAGAAACAGGAGGTTTTGCAACTAATTTGAGGAGGACTCACCAGGATAGTAAAAATGTGAGAAAGCCATATCCTCCTTCCTTCTGACAGTGCTAGCTAGCTATCAATATGTTTAGTGCTTTTAAAAGCCTCACTCCTTCTCTACAAATAAAAGGTATCACTTCTCCTTATATCATGTAATGGCAATTTTGAGATGTACCTTTGTCTTAAACTTGGGTCGAGTTCTGCACTCAGTTAGACTGCTATGTGACTGACGTAAGTGCCTGATCCTGGGAAGTGCCAAGCACCCAAACTCCAGGGTAAAAATGTGTAGGAACACTGCATTGTACTCCCTGTGTAGCTGAGAGCAGAATCTAGCCCCATATTTTTAAATTAATGACTCCGCCTTTTCTAATACATTTTTCAGCAGCAAGCTCCAGCCATCAGGTTTCCTCTTAGTTTTTTATAGTTTTTTTTTACAGTTTATGGCTTGTCCTGTGGTTGCTGGAAATTAAAAAGAAATAATTCTTGATAGTTTACAAAACAAGATACACATTCTTGCATCGTATGGCATGTTACAACTTGTGTCCCCTTTGAAATAGTCCTGCTGGCATTCAGATTTGTGAGGGAATTCTCTCAACTTCCAGTGTGGGGCTGCAGTCAGTGAAAGGGGAAGAAAATTTATGATTGCATAAATATCTGAGCAGACTGCAAGCATGACTCCTCATACAGACCCCTCCTCCAAACAACAGCATCAGCGAAGCCAAAACCTGGAGAAAAGACATATGCATACAGACTGTTGGCCCTGCGTCCATCAGTGCTTTATAGCCAGGTGGATAACATGGACTAACAGCCGGAGCCAATGCTAATTAATATACAGATTCAGCAAACAAAAACCTGAAAATCAGATCGAGTTTCTAACATTACACTACAGACATAGCTAACAGCAAATGCAATGAGGGAAGCACAGGCCAGGCCTGCTTTGGAGCTGTATTTGGAGCTCAAGTGAAACTAGTTGAGGGCATTTTATATGGAGCTTTCAATGGCTGAAATGTTGCTGTAGAGGATTTTCATTAGGGCTGTCAATTAATCACACGATTAACTCAAAAAAATTAATCACGATTAATTGCAGTTTTAATCGCACTGTTAAACAATAGAATACCAATTGAAATTTATTAAATATTTTGGATGTTTTTCTACATTTTCATATATATTGTACTCTGTGTTGTAATTGAAATCAAAGTATATATTATTTTTTATTACAAATATTTGCACTATAAAAATGATAAACAAAAGAAATAGTATTTTTCAATTCTCCTCATACAAATACTGTAGTGCAATCTCTTTGTCATGAAAGTGCAACTTACAAAGGTAGATTTTTTTTTGTTACATAACTGTACTCAAAAACAAACAATGTAAAACTTCAGAGCCTACAAGTCCACTCAGTCCTACTTCTCATTCAGCCAATCGCCAAGACTAACACATACGCTTACATTTACAGGAGATAATGCTGCCTGCTTCTTATTTACAATGTCACCAGAGAGTGAGAACAGGCATTTGCATGGCACTTATGTAGCTGACATTGCAAGGTATTTATGTGCCAGAAATGCTAAACATTCCTATGCCCTTTCATGCTTCGGCAACCATTCCAGAGGACATGTTTTAATGCTGATGACACTCGTTAAAAAAATAATGCATTAATTAAATTTGTGACTGAACTCCTTGTGGGAGAATTGTGTGTCCCCTGCTCTGTTTTACCCACATTCTGCCACATATTTCGTGTTATAGCAGTCTCGGATGATGACCCAGCACATGTTGTTCATTTTAAGAACACTTTCACTGCAGATTTGACAAAACGCGAAGAAGGTACCAGTGTGAGATTTCTAAAGATAGCTACAGCACTCGACCCAAGGTTTAAGAATCTGAAGTGCCTTCCAAAATCTGAGAGGGACGAGGTGTGAAGCATGTTTTTAGAAGTCTTAAAAGAGCAACACTCCGATGCAGAAACTACAGAACCTGAACCACCAAAAAAGAAAATCAACCTTCTGCTAGTGGTATCTGACTCAGATAATGAAAATGAATATGCGTTGGTGCGCATTGCTTTGGATCGTTACTGAGCAGAACCCATCATCAGCATGGACGAATGTCCCTGGAATGGTGGTTGAAACATGTGAATCCTTAGTGTATCTGGCATGTAAATATCTTGCGATGCCGGCTACAACAGTGCCATGAGTGCACCTGTTCTCACTTTCAGGTGACATTGTAAACAAGAAGTGGGCAGCATTATCTCCTGCAAATGTAAGCAAACTTGTTTATCTGAGCGATTGGCTGAACAAGAAGTAGGACTGAGTGGACTTGCAGGCTCTAAAATTTTACATTGTTTTATTTTTGAATGCAGCTTTTTGTACAGAATTCTACATTTGTAAGTTCAAATGTAATGATAAACAGATTGCGCTACAGTACTTGTATTAGGTGAACTGAAAAATACTACCATATTTCTTTTGTTTTTTTTACTGTGCAAATACTTGTAATAAAAAATAAATATAAAGTGAGCACTGTACACTTTGTATTCTGTGTTGTAATTGAAATTAATATTGTCGCAGCCCTATGCTCTGTCATGGCGTCCGGATGGCCAATTGTCTGTCAGAAGGTCACATCGGTGTCGTGTGCAGCACCTTGGTGCTGTTTGCAGCGCCTTGGTGTCGTGTGCAACACATTGGGGCCGTGTGACCATTCTCGAACCTTCTGCCTGGTCAATTGTAGGTCACATTGGTACCGTGTGCTACAATTCCAGCGGGCCGTGTGCATAAGCCTAGTGTGCCGTGTGCAGTGCCTGTTACGTAGGGGGCACCAGCTCGGAGCCTGGTTGGTGTCGGAGCGGGGAACCAATTAGATGCTAGCATGTGCAAGGGTCTTCGAACAAAACTATGTCTCTGGTCTAAATCAGCAGGAGTGTCCGCGTGTTAGCTGAAAGGCCTGATCACCCTTTCAGCCAGGATCTCCTCCGGATTTAGCTAGCTCGTGTCGTGTAATTTCGGGTTCCATCTCATCATGTCCTTGCTGTCTGTACTGCTGGTCAGCTGCGCCTGGAGTGTGGTATGCATGTATTAATTTTTGTAGATATTCTGTTGGTTAGGCCCTTTTTCTTTATTACTTGATACCAAATCTCTTGTACAGTGTAGAGAGGGCAAATTGTTACAGTTTATTCAGTTTTGTATGCTTGTTCTGGTTTTTGGTAAATAGTTGGTTGTTGATTCCTTGTTGTTAAATGTATATAGCTTGTTTTATATTACTGCTCTGGTGATATTTCTGGTTGGTTACTTGTTTGAATTTGTATTGTTGGTTGGTAAAAGTGCTCCTCCCCAGCCCAAGTTGTGATTTTTTTCCCATTAATAAACGGCCACCTGTTTTTGAATTGCAATTTGCCTCTTTCTCAATTTCCCCCCTCCCACTTGATCCTCATTCGAACCTGTATTGGTCTCGGACAAATATATTTGAAAATATAGAAAGCATCCAAAAATATTTAAATAAATGGTATTGTATTGTTGTTTAACAGTGCAATTAATCGTGATTAATTTTTTTTAATCGCTTGACAGCTCTAATTTTCATTAATATAATGCAAAATGTATAGGATTTTGCTTCCCTGGAAAAGGAAAGTATAATTAGGCAGACCAAAAAAGAATACATAAAAACTAGCATCAGGGTTTTATTTTAAAGTCCAACAGAAGCAGGAAGCCTGGCACACAATCAGTGGGGATACTGGATGAGTCAGGTGTTAAAGAAGCGCCCAAGAAACACTAAGCCGTTCATGGAGAAGCGAAATGAATTATTTGCATCTGTCTTCGCTGCAGAGGACATGAGGGAGATTCCCATACCTGAGCCATTCTTTTTTGGTGACAAATCTAAGGAACTGTCCCAGATGGAGGTGTCAAGAGAGGAGATTTTGGAACAAATCGATAAATGAAACAGTAATGTCACCAGGACCAGCTGGTATTTACTCAAGAGTTCTGAAGGAACTCAGATATGAAATTGCAGAACTGCTAACTGTGCTATGTAGTCTATCATTTAAATCAACCACTGTATCAGATGACTGGAGGGTAGCTAATGAAAGGTCCCTTTTTTAAAAAGGCTCCAGACGTGATCTTGGCAATTGAAGGGCAGAAAGCCTAACTTCAGTACCGGGCAAATTGGTTGAAACTCTAGGAAAGAACAGAATTATCAGACTCATAGATGAACACAATTTGTTGGAGAAGAGTCAACACATCTTTTGTAAAGGGAAATCATGCCTCAGCAATATATTAGAATTCTTTGAGGGAATCAGCAAGCATGTGGACAAGGGCAATGCAATCGACAGAGTGTACCTGAACTTTCAGAGAGCCTTTGACAAGGTCCCTCACCAAAGGCTCTTACACAAAGTAAGCTGTCATGGGCTAAGAGGTAAGGTGCTCTCATGGATTGGTAACTGGTTAAAAGATAGGAAACAAAGGATAAGGAATAAATGGTCAGTGTTCAGAATGGAGAGAGGTAAATAGTGGTGTCCCCCAGGGGACTGGGCCCAGTCCTATTCAACATATTCATAAATGATCTGGAAAAAGGGATAAACTTTGCAAATGATACAAAACTACTCAAGTATCAGGGGGTAGCCGTGTTAGTCTGTATCTACAAAAACAACAAGGAGTCTGGTGGCACCTTAAAGACTAACAGATTTATTTGGGCATAAGCTTTCATGGGTAAAAACCTCACTTCTTCAGATGCATAGAGTGAAAGTTACAGATGCAGGCATTATATACTGACACATGGAGAGCTCAAGATAGTTAAGTCCCAGGCAGACTGCGAAGAGCTACAAAAGGATCTCTCAAAACCGGGTGACTGGGCAACAAAATGGCAGATTAAATTCAATGTTGATAAATGCAAAGTAATGCACATTGGAAAACATAATCCCAACTATACATATAAAATGATGGGGTCTAAATTATCTGTTACCACTCAAGAAAGAGAGTGTGGAGTCATTGTGGATAGTTCTCTGAAAACATCCACTCAATGTGTAGCGGCAGTCAAAAAAGCAAACAGAATGTTGGAAATCATTAAGAAAGGGATAGATAATAAGACAGAAAATATCATATTGCCTGTATATAAATCCGTGATATGCCCACATCTTGAATACTGCATGCAGATGTGGTTGCCCCGTTTAAAAAAAGATACATTGGAATTGTAAAAGATTAGCCCTTGTCTACACTATGTGGTTAGGTCGAATTTAGCCGCGTTAGGTCGATTTTATAAGCAATGCATCTACACAACCAGTCCCGTTCCGTCGACCTAAAGGGCTCTTAAAATCAACTGCTGTACTCCTCCCCGATGAGGGGAGTAGCACTAAAATTGACCTTGCTGGGTCGAATTTGGGGTAGTACAGACGCAATTTGACAGTATTGGCCTCCGGGAGCTATCCCAGAGTGCGCCAATGTGACCGCTCTGGACAGCACTTTCAACTCCGATGCACTAGCCAGGGACACAGGAAAAGCCCTGGGAAATTTTGAATTTCATTTCCTGTTTGGTCAACGTGGTGAGCTCAGCAGCACAGGTGACCATGTTGTCTCAGAATCGCAAACAAGCTCCGGCATGGACCGAATGGGAGGCACTGGATCCGATTGCTGTATGGGGAGAAGAATCTGTGCAGGCCAAACTCCGATCAAAAAGAAGAAATGCTGATATATATGCCAAAATCGCACAGGGCATGGTGGAGAGAGGCTACAACAGGGACACACAGCAGTGCTGTGTGAAAATTAAGGAGCTCAGGCGTGCCTACCAAAAGACAAAGGAGGCAAACGGTTGCTCCGGGTCAGAGCCCCATACATGCCACTTCTATGATCAGCTGCATGGCATTCTGGGGGGGGGGGGGGGGAGGAGGAACCCAACCACTATCCCACCACTATCCGTGGACACCTGCAAAGGGGGAGTCTCACGTAACAGGGAGGAAAATTTTGTGGATGAGGAAGAGGAGGAGGAGAATGTGCAGCAGGGAAGCGGAGAATCCATTCTCCCTGGCAGCCAGGACCTTTTCATCACCCTGGAGCCAATACCCTCCCAAGGTGGGTTTCTGGACCCTGAAGCTGGAGAAGGCGCCTCTGGTGAGTGCACATTTGTAACTATGCTACAGGGTTTTAAAGCAATTGTGTTTAATGCTTGATTTGCCCTGAAGACTTGGGATGCATTCGCAGCCAGTACAGCTACTGGAAAAGTCTGTTAATGTGTCTGGGGATGGAGCAGGAATCCTCCAGGGACATCACCATGAAGCTCTCCGGGAGGTACTCTGAAAGCCTTTGTAAAAGGTTTCTGGGGAGGGCTGCCTTATTTTGTCCTCCACGGTAGGACACTTTACCATGCCAAGCCAGTAGCCTCGAATCATTGCAGCACAAAGCATGGCAGCAAATGATCCTGGGTTTTGGTCACATTCAAGCAACATTCGGTCTATATCTTTCTGTGTTAGCCTCAGGAGAGTGATATCATTCATGGTCACCTGGTTGAAATAGGGGAATTTTTGTAAGGGAACAGTAAAAGGACCCCGTTCATGCTGGGCTGTTTGCGCTTGGCTAAAAGGGATCATCCCTGAGAATAGCCATGCGGTGGGAGGAGGGGTGAAGGGATCATCCAGAGAATAGCCATGCAGTAGGGTGGGGGGAGGGGTGTGCTTCACATCCACCCGAAAACCGCAGCCCCTCCTTTTAAATGGCAAACTCAACCAGCATTGCTTGCTATGGGAAAGGAGGGCGCTGCAGTTTGAAACCATTCCCACATGTTATGAAGACGGAAGAAGCCAACCCCGCTTACCCTTTGGTTTACCATGGCTTCCTGGAAACCGAATTCTGTTGCCCAGCAGTGAGTGATGTGTCACCATACCGGCAGGTGCTCAATGTAAAAGGCAAAATGTGACCTTGTACCTAAAGCACATGTGCTGTCTGCTGTGAATTGGTTGATTCACTGTGAAAGAGTCTCCCTTTTGTTCTCATAAATGTATCTTCTTAAATTCTACTCTCCCTTTTTATCCCCCCCACAGGTGCAAATGTTTCTATGCTCCCCCTACCATCTCCGTCCCAGAGGTTATCGCAAATTAGAAAGCGGAGAAAACGCACTCGCGATGACATGTTTTCCGAGCTCATTCAGTTCTACCGCACTGATAGGGCACAGCTGAATGCATGGAGGCATACAGTGACAAAGCCCAGGAAAGCATTAAGTGAACGCGATGAGAAGAGACAGGATGCAATGCTGAGGCTAATGGGGGAGCAAACGGACATCCTCAGGCATCTGGTGGAGCTGCAGGAAAGGCAACAAGAGCACAGACCACCGCTGCATCCACTGTATAACCGCCTGCCCTCCTCCCCAAGTTCCATATCCTCCTCACCCCGATGCCCAAGAACACAGGGGGGAGGGAAGACTCCGTGCACCCAGCCACTCCACTCCAGAGGATGGCCCAAGCAACAGAAGGCTGTCATTCAAACAGTTTTGATTTGTAGTGTGGCTACAATAAGCAATGTGGCCTTGTCCTTCCCTCCTCCTCTCCTCCCCCACCCCACCCGGGCTACCTTGTCAGTTATCTCTACTTTTTTTAATTAATAAAGAAAGAATGCATGGTTTCAAAACAATAGTAACTTTATTTCCTTTGCTAGCTGTGATCAAAGGGGGGAGGGTGGTTGGCTTACAGGGAATTAAAATCAACAAAGGGGGCAGGTTTGCATCAAGGAGAAACACACACAACTGTCACACCGTATTCTGGTCAGTCATGAAACTGGTTTTCAAAGGTTTCAGAGTAGCAGCCGTGTTAGTCTGTATCCGCAAAAAGAAGAACAGGAGGACTTGTGGCACCTTAGAGACTAACAAATTTATTAGAGCATAAGCTTTCGTGGACTACAGCCCACGATGCCCATATGCATCCGAAGAAGTGGGCTGTAGTCCACGAAAGCTTATGCTCTAATAAATTTGTTAGTCTCTAAGGTGTCACAAGTCCTCCTGTTCTTCTTTTTTGGTTTTCAAAGCCTCTCTGATGCGCAGCACGCCTAGCTGTGCTCTTCTAATCGCCCTGGTGTCTGGCTGCTCAAAATCGGCCGCCAGGCGATTTGCCTCAACCTCCCACCCCGCTATAAACATCTCCCCGTTACTCTCACAGATATTATGGAGCACACAGCAAGCAGCAATAACAATTGGAATATTAGTTGCGCTGAGGTCTAACCTAGTCAGCAAACAGCGCCAGCAAGCTTTTAAACGTCCAAAGGCACATTCTGTACTTGCTCAGCCTATAGTTGAACTGCTCCTTACTACTGTCCAGGCTGCCTGTGTATGGCTTCATGAGCCATGGGGGCAAGAGGTAGGCTGGGTCTCCAAGGATAACTATTGGAATTTCAACATCCCCAACAGTAATTTTCTGGTCTAGGAACTAAGTCCCTTCTTGCAGTTGTTCAAAGAGCCCGGAGTTCCTAAAGATGTGAGTGTCATGTACCTTTCCTGGCCATCCCATGTTGATGTCAGTGAAATGTCCCTTGTGATCCACCAGTGCTTGCAGCACCATTGAGAAGTACCCCTTGCGGTTTACATACTGGTTGGCAAGGTGGTCCAGTGCCAAGATAGGGATATGCGTTCCGTCTATCACCCCACCACAGTTAGGGAACCCCATTGCAGCAAAGCCATCCACTATGACCTGCACATTTCCCAGAGTCACTACCCTTATTAGCAGAAGGTTAGTGATTGCCTTGGCTACTTGGATCATAGCAGCCCCCACAATAGATTTGCCCACTCCAAATTGATTCCCGGTGGACTGGTAGCAGTCAGGTGTTGCAAGCTTCCACAGGGCTATCGCCACTCACTTCTCAGCTGTCAGGACAGCTCTCATCTTGCTATTCCTGCACTTCAGGGAGGGGGGAAGCAACTCACAAAGTTTCAGGAAAGTGGCCTTATGCATGCAAAAGTTTCACAGCCACTGGGAATCATCCCATACCTGTAACACTATGCGGTCCCACCAGTGTGTGCTTGTTTGCTGGGCCCAGAATCGGTGTTCCACTGTATCAACCTGCCCCACTGCCACCATGATGTCCCAGTTTCCACATCCCATGCTTTCAAGAACCAGGGCTTTGGAGCAAAGCCCAGAGCTGGAGCTCAGAGCAGCTCCGGAGCAGTGGAGCTGCAGGTTTTTGCCTGGAGCTGGAGCAGAGCCGGAGCACAGCTCCAAAGTCCTGTCAGAAACAACAAGGAGTCTGGTGGCACCTTAAAGACTAACAGATTTATTTGGGCATAAGCTTTCGTGAGTTAAAACCTCACTTCTTCGGATGAAGAAGTG